CTCAGAGTTATGCTTTTAACATGTAATTAATGTATCAAACTAACCTTCAGAAGCAAAGCCATCCTGCTTGGAAACACAGAACCCGGTAACCATTATTGGGACTTGTTTTCAAAAGGGTGAAACTGGCATGGTCATTAGTTTACACAGTTTAAAGTGAATATGGCGCTCCTTGAATCTTTGATCAGTCCTTATTTTGCAGTAGGTCCTGTCACCCAAGATCACATGAATATGATACTCTTCACTTGCTGTCACGTAAAACTCTTTGTCTTGGGCAGGGACTGTTTCTGGACACCGTTGATAGTGACAAATTGGCGCGTGGGCTTCAAATTTAGCTTCTCGATTGCTTCTATGGATATGAAATTCCTCCCTGAGCCTGTATCCAAGTAAGCCCACAAGGCGATTCCTTGAATCTTCAGCGGAATGATGGCTGGTAACGACTGATCTTCTGAGCCAGGATTATATGCTGTGAACACCGTGCCATCACTCGGTCTGTTCACCAAATGTCTCTCACGGAGGCTTGTGTGGTGTCTTGACTTACTTTTGAAACAAGGCCAACTTCAGAAGTAACTTGTCCCATGACCCTCACGTCCACAGTTGTAACACAGTTTCCTTTCATGAAACAAATTTCTTCTTTTTTCTATTGTGTCGAACACTCCACAAGCTTCCCCCCAGTGGTCACCTTGACAGTATAGGCAAGAAGGGGCTTTGGGTTCATGGCCGGCGTCCCTCTTTCCCCTTGTATGCCAGTGCCGTTCCCTTTTGCTAGTCCCTTGTGTCAGTCGATAAGTCGTCCACCTGGTTCCTTTTGAGCCACTTTTGCAGGTTTGCAGTTAATTCCTTCATGCTCCATTCCTCCCAATGATCGTCAACTCTAACAAGATCAGGTTTAACTGGTGGTAATTTCTTGAGCGTTGTCATCACGAATCCTCTCAACATGTCAGCCTCCCCCAGGGTTTGTAAGGCGTCGTAATTTTTGGTTAAGCCTTCATAGTACTCTCTTGCTTTCTCGAAACTGTTCTCTTTTACTGGTGTCAAATTTACGATTTCGTCCATGTGGGCGTTCACAACAAGCTTAGTGTGCCTGTATTCCTTCTGTAATCTCTCCCATGCCAAGGTACCTGCAATCTTGGACAAAACTGTTGAGAAAATTGCATACTTGGGGGGCATTTTTTCTAAACTTCGTAGCCGACCGATTCTTCCTTCCTCCCCTCCCCCTAGAAGCAGTGTTGTTGGGTCTTCAAAAGAAAGCCAGATCCCTAAGCATTTGTAGGAAGCAACTTTGAACTGGGGGAGGGGGTTTTCTTTACGCAAAGCCATTGATTTCAAAATAGTTTTGTTGCGTTAGGTAGTGGGCATTAATAAAAACATTTTCTCAAGTAGTTTTGTCCAGGATTGTATTTGACTGGAAAAGTCAATTTTGAGCATTTAACGCGGGCACATAAATTTGTTCTTTATATGTTTCGTACATGTCACAGAAAAGTAGATAATTAATAGAAAATTAGTGACAACAGAGGAGTTGATGTCACGAAAATCAAGTAGTATGTCTTTCTTGATTCAAATAGCCAATTGTGAACGTTTGTAAATTTTATTTTCCATGCAGGGTTTTTACGCGCGCTTTGAGTGCAGCAGAGCAGGCATACATTTCGTTTTTGGCGGATGAGAAGGACGTCTCCGTCAAGGAGATTAGCCAGGAAACAGGCCTTTCACCTGCTATGATTCTATGAACAAATAACACATGAAACTTGTGCTAAATTTTCAGAGCACGTGACCAAAAAACAATCAAAGGCAATGAACAAGCGCTTGCCATTAATAACAGCATCAAATGCAGAGAGGATGAATTATTAACAAAACTTGTATTTTTACTTTCCAAATTTGAAAGCTTACTTTTGACATTGTATCACACTATGAAATCTAAAAATGTCACGTGTGGTAATGTGACAAGATTTACTATCGTGTGCCCTGTAAGAGGGCATGTTTTGCCCTCGGGCTATTTATAGCTACATATGACTGGAACAAAGTATGAGATAAAGTCATCACTTGTGAAGCAAGAGAGAATAAAAATTGCCACAGTTGTCTTCTAATCTCTTTCTCTCCACAATATCTAAGATTCGGAACGATTAACAGGACATTTTTAAGGTGCTAGCAAGATTAGCAATGGTTAACAACGATTAACAAGGACGTTTCAAAAGAATCAGAAGGTCATTTACTTTTAAAAGCGAAATGGTGTTAACCGTTTCAATGCTTTGTTAATCATAACATTATTCTATCCATGGAATTATCGTAAAAAGTTGACCGACTTGTAGCAAACGAGGTTTCTGTAACCCTCATAGTTCAGCAATAAAAACGATAACCAATAATGTGAGCCATAGTGTAATCCTAGGTTGTAATCCAAATATTTTCTGGTCTGGGTGTGGATTTAAGAGTTCTCTTAATGTTAATAGCGGCGCCTCCTACAGGGGTGGGTGACTTTAGTGTGATAAAAATTGGAATTGGGGAGGTCTATGTTATATGTAAAAAATCCATATCTGTGTACTGGTCAGTTTGGTATGAGCATGAGCCATTGACAAAATTACACTCTTTATCATTTAGATTGTAAAAAAGGTAATTCTTGAAGTCCAGCATCTGTTGCTGTCATTGTGCAAGTGTGAATACACTACAATAAAAGGCATGAGTTAACTACAATACTCGTCAAAAATCTTGAAACACTTGTGTCTATTTCCCCTTCCCCAATGTTGATTTGGGTATCACAGTGGTCTGAGTGCTTCAAAATACGCGTGGCTCAACATTGGGGAGGGAGAAGGCACATTTCAGGGGGGAAAACAGTGTGAAGTAGAAATCTCATGATTGTTCCAGAAAATTCGAGAGAAACGGTGTCTGTTTCAACGATTTGTGACGAGTATTGTCTTTGCGTCTGAAGGGCGTGGACGGGTAACGTAAACGTAGCAAGAGTAATTATTGTTCCCTGCGGTGGTTACGTGAGGAGTGTTCTTGTTTTGACTTTTCTAGATATGAAGTAGGAGTTATATAAAGAAGCTATGCAAACTTTAAAGTATAGCGATTTTAAGGTACTTTTGTGGTTAAACAGTTTAGTGAAACGGCTCTGCCTATTAGCACATTGCGATGGTGTTTAAAGGTATAATCGATAGCGTGACTCGTGCACGTGCGTATTATCTATGTCGGGTTAAAGGCCTATCTGTGCGAACAGTTGCCAGCATGTGCAAAATTTCTGCGGCCACTTTTCATAGAATTGCACATGAGAAAACTTATAAGAGTCGCACTTCGGAGGAGACGTGTAAAAGAGGTCGCAAGAGCAAGTTAAGTGACCGCGACAAAAGACGACTGATTCGATGCATTACAGTTTTGAGGAAAAGAGAGGGGAACTTTACCTGTAAAGCACTGATGGAGGAAGCCGGAATTCAACAAAAGGACGTATCTGTAAGAACAGTTTCTCGTTTTCTCAATTCAAAAAATTACTACTATCTGCAGACTCGCAGAAAGGGGCTCATGACAGCGGAAGACCACAGCAAAAGAGTGAAGTTTGCAAAGTACATGAAAGCCAACTACAGCCAGGAGATTTGGACAGAAGGAATTGCCTTTTACCTGGATGGAACAGGATTTACGTACAAAAGAAATCCACTGGATCAGGCTCGTGCACCAAAAGCTCGTGTCTGGAGGAAGAAATCAGAGGGTTTGGCTCCCGGATGCCTAGCAAAGGGCCGCAAAGGGGGAACTGGGGGCAAAGTATTACGACTGATGGTGGCAATTTCTTACAATAAAGGAGTTATCTGCTGTGAACCTTACGAGAAAATGACTGGTCGTTATTTCGCTGCCTTTATAGATAACCATTTTGATCGCCTATTCGCAGCTGCTGATAAAGGATGTAGCCGAACGTTTTTACAAGATGGGGATCCCTCTCAAAATTCGGCTTTAGCAAGGGCAGCGATGCAACGCACAAACAGTACCTTAATCAAACTGTGTCCAAGATCTCCGGATATGGCGGTCATTGAAAATGTGTTCCCCATGGTGAGTAGGATGTTAAAAAGACAAGCAGTGCAGCAACAACTACGCCGTGAAACATTTGAACAGTTTAAGAATCGTGTTATCAGTACATTTTACTCTATATCTGTTGAGACTGTGAACAATTTAATACGCTCTATGCCGAAACGAATTGATATGGTGATTAGAAATAAGGGGAAGCGTATAAAATACTAAAGAAATACCCCTAATTGCATTCTGTGGATAATTGCGTGAGATTTCTTCTCGCAAAATGTAAACTTTCAGAGACAATATCACTATCGCACTATTCGCCAAAAACAAGGGGGAGGGGTGGTGTTGCATATTTCAAAACAGAAGGGGGTGAAGATTGCTCCGATGGCCATCAAGAGGACGTTTAGCGATTTTTAGATAGCAGAATGCTTTTTTGCGGTCATTTTATGAAATTGATTCGCTATTCATTGTGACATGATTTCTGTTGGAGCTCCAGGGAAAGAATAGTGTACATGGTCGCTTAGTCCTTATCTCAAATAACTACACAAAGGTGTCAAATGAACACGGAACCTTTCTCTTCTTTTGCTATGCTCTTAACAGTTCTATGTACAAAAATAAGCTAACTTTATAGAAAATTACATTATTAAAAGAGATCATTTGCTTTAAGGACCTGCCGACCTTCTTAGCGCTGAAACTCAACGATTCACCACTGTGTTCTAAAGTTAAGTAATTATAGTACCATAGACTTTAAGAACTATCGGTTCACCATGGTGAAGCCCTAGAAATAGCCTTATTAAATAGGTTAATCAACAACATTATCCCTCAGGTGTATGTTCCGTGATCTGTTCTATCACTTAAAACACTTGTAGATGCAGTAGCTTTTGGTTTGGTTCCTAAAAAAGGCAAATAATTTTCCAAACACCATGGTGAATCGTGTAACACTGAAACCACAGCAAAGATTACAAAATGTCAACAAAGTCGGTGATATTTACATAAGCTCAGTCATAATTGAATTAGTCGTCTTGTGGGAAAATAAGTCGACTAAAACATTTTCCACACGGGGGGACTGACTTCTGCTGTTCCTCGGGTATTTGATGGAAGAGATTGAAGACACGCCACCTTACCTTCATCATCTGAGTCTCCCTGTCATCAACAACACCGCCTCGTACATAACTAAGTTCATCCTTACTGGTACAAAATATGGGTGTATCTCCCTGGAACAGAATATCTTGTCGGTAGTGTGTTTTGGGGGCGGGTAGATGGACACTTTGGCCTTCAAGAAGCATTAAGAAGTCATGCCAGGGAATAATTTGAGCAGACCACCTAAAATCGTTGAGAAAAACTACTTCTGACTGTTCTGCGCCAACCCAAGCAAACGTTGTAGAGGCTGGATTACTGAATGTTTTGTAGATAGTGTTCAAAGGGTTTAGCAAAAATGTTTTCGCACAGTTACAGGGACCTTTCAAGTAAAGATTGCGATACTTTCCGCGCCCTTTGTCGAGAAGTATGCGAACAGCTTCTGCAAAGTCATCCCTCACAATAGAGTTCCGCTCTAACACTTCTTTTGCCATTTGCAACCACTGGCCGTCACACCCTGGCTCACACTCTCCTTCCAATTTACTGTACAAAATCTCAATTCGAGTCATTTTACTCCTTTGCAGCGTGCTCTCCGCGTTTTCTAATTCCCAGCCCACAAATATCGCTTCATCCACTACCCGACTTCCACGATTCGCGATAAACTGCGCCAGTCAAGTTTCCCCTCACTTTTTTGCTTTTGTGCTAACACCAGCAGCTCTAACCGAGTTTTTATGCCATTTTTTACGGCTATCTGCGATACATCATAAACCGATAAACTTTGGGAGGACTTTTTACGCTTCCTTCGTCCATTGGCAAGTCGGGTATGCGTTTCGGTAGCCCTTGAAGTATTGGGTGCAGGGGTATTAGTCAAATCGGGATGGTTATCAGACTGTAAGTAACTCTCGTCTTCCTTTGTGGTGTACTGCCAGGCTGAATAATAATTGCTATGGCGAGCGCTGAAATTCACTTTCACTCCGTGTCGCTCATCAAGATAATTGCGTATTTTCAGCCAGCGTCGCCGTGCATTTAATTTCACTGCCATTTGATAATGAATGGCCCCATCCCTATGCCGTTCTTGGCTGCACACCCACTGTAATATCTCACAACGCGTTAATGGGTCTGCATTGTCGAAACTATCCAACACCAGCTGAACAAAACTTTCTCGATTAGGAACTATCTCTTCGTTCGCTCGGCTGTATGTGATTAGATAAATACTCCGAACTTGACGTGACCCCAGCGCCTCCGATCGCTCAGTAGCATCATCACCTGCTACACTTTCTGTCAGGGTGCTTAAGTCTAACACTTCACTACTTGTCGCGTCACAGTTCGCCATTTCACTACACGATTCCCCGTTTCTTGAACAGGAAAGACATTTACCAACAGACATGCCCTTATTTATTGCGCTGAGAAAATCTAATTAGCTTAGGTAAATATTATTTCCCTTTTGAAAAGTTGGAATATATGTCTTCAGAAAATGAAGCCTCATCAGCGACCTCACATTTTCCCGCATGTCTTAATTACTGCCTGTATGTGTAACACATTGCTTTTATTTCCCTTATTTTCATCTTTTGTTTTTTTTTTGGTTAAATATAACTTGAAAATAATCCGACATCCTAGATTTATCTTTCTCATCTGTGCGCGAACCAAGCAGGTGGATTGTATCGATGATCCAAAAATTCGCCTTGAAGAGAAACTGTTACTTTTTCCTCTCTTCAGACTAAATACAATACTCATCAAAAATCTTGAAACACTTGTGTCTATTTCCCCTTCCCCAATGTTGATTTGGGTATCACAGTGGTCTGAGTGCTTCAAAATACGCGTGGCTCAACATTGGGGAGGGAGAAGGCACATTTCAGGGGGGAAAACAGTGTGAAGTAGAAATCTCATGATTGTTCCAGAAAATTCGAGAGAAACGGTGTCTGTTTCAACGATTTGTGACGAGTATTGTAGAATAAATTTACATATATACAGGTTAACGTTCTGTAATCCTACCGTCCAAAGTGATATATTTTTCTCATCAGTTCCTAATTTGGTCCAGGTAATCGTCGAATTCCTCATGGGTATTAAACGCCTCAATATTTAATGTTTTGGTCGCTCTTAGGTGATTTTTTCCATTCAAAGTCCACAAAAACTTGTAGTTGTTGTCAAGTTTAAATTTGTTGATCCTGCCAAATAGTCTTTTCCGATAACTTGTAAGTAATTCATTAACATGGATCTTGTCTTCCCTTTCCCATGTCTGCAGTTACCAATGCTAAATTACTAGATTTTTTACCGATAAGGTTTTTTCTCGTCTTGACCTCCTCCCTTTTGTCTCTTCTTACAATCTTCACTATGATGCAGTTCTTAACTGTCTTTGTATCTGGCAATCGACGTGCTGCTGAAATGCAGCCATCATCCAGCTGTACTCCAATTTTCACTAGCTGCTTTGGGTTGTCAGCCAGCAAAATCTGCGAGACGTAATTAGTCAGACAGAGTAAAAGCCCATAAACCACACGTGGAATCCCATAATCGTATAAATCTAACCAAGTGATTCGATATTATTCGATCTGAAATTAAACGTCACAATACACATAGACTCTGAAAACAGCTATTTAAAACAATCAAAATGATCCATTACAAAGATTAGCTATTGAAGTGTAAATAATTGCACCAACTGTGAGGTAAATCAATTTAGTTCTCTTAGAAAGATCAATACAACAACTTAACTAAAAGCAAAATAAACTTACCTCGTGCCAGGATTCCAGTGTTATTACCAGATCCATAAAAACGAATAAAACCTACAAGTTTGTAATCATACTGTAATCCCCTACTAAACGTGTCTGTAAAAAGCCAATCCTGTTGCATAAGTACAAAACTGATGAAGACAAACGTCATTTTCTTAGCAAATGTCACGCAATAAAACACTTGTCCCAATGAGGGCATTAGCTCTCATCCTCTCTGGTCGTCGTCACAGTATCCTTCTGCCCAGTATACCACAGCAATTTTAGTGATGGGTCTGTCATATTCTCCTGAGCATGTCTTGACTTTAACGTTTCTGACTAACGTTTCCGACTAATGTTTCCTGTCCAGGTTAGACACTGACTACTCAGCCACCATTCCAGAAATTGCATCAGGAGTTTTCACTAACACAAAGTCATCAACTCGAACATTCTGTTTCTCTTCATAACACTTCTTCCTAGGCAGTAACGAAGGGAACACATCTCTTATCCAGTGTGTCCAAAACGAATCTATTTTCTGGACAAACTCCACTCTGTCGGGGGTTCTTAGTGTGTCTGAATGCTCCTTGAGGAACTCTAGATGACACTCTTCTAAGTAACATCGTGCAAACAAAGATATGTGCCGTCGTCTGGATCACTTGGGATGTGGCCCATTGGAAGCTGGTTGACCAAATTTGCAACTTCTACGAAACATGTCTGCAGCTCGAGTGGGGTCAGTGTTTGCTCTCCAATTACCTTTGTAATGCGATCTAGCAGCTCGTTACTAAAGCTTCCACACAACCATTCTGGTGGGGAGCGGCCGGTGTTGTGAACTTCCACTTCATTCCTTTTTCAGCAGAGAACTCTTGAATTTTTCTGTATCCAATCCTTCAATTATATTTCGAAGCTCTCGTTCAGTGCCAACTAGCTGGGAACCATTGTCACTTATCATCAACTCGGGTACTCCTCTTAAGGCAAAGACTGTTTTTAGCACCTGCATGTATTCCATAGTGGTGCAATCTGCTGCAACGTCAAGATGAACTGCTCTACTGTTCAGACATGTAAAGATGACACCATAATGCTCGACCACTTTGTTACGGTTAATTCATACACGGTAGGGATCAAAATAATCACACGAAGTGTTATGAAACAGTGGAGTAAATGGAGCGAGAGGACTTTGTGGTAAGTCTGCATTGATTTGTGATTCAACTTTTGCTACAATTTCTCGGCAAACCAGGCAACGGAACTTTATTGACTTCACCAGGTCATGCGCTCGAGTAATCCAGTATTTTGTTCTTTTTTTCGCCACAGTCGCTGCCACACCTTGATGTCGAATCTGATGACCATGCTGAATTATTAGATGCGATATCCAGTGACACGCTTAGCCACAAGTTCCCGATAAAAGTATCTAAAAGTTGCTAAAAAGTTGTATTTGTTTTTAAAGTTGCCGAGTAGCTGGTTTTGCTTTTTTGGTTGGTCTCGTTTAAAATGAAATAACTGCTATTCATTCTCCTAAAAGATATTTTCAACTTTTCTTGCTCACAAAGGGACAGAAACACCATACTTAATTTCAAAAGTCGGGGACTCGATGAGGTCAACTTTCGTGACCTACACATCGCAAAAGCAGTTAAGTGCTAACAAAAAACACTGAAACAAGCGTTAATAATGCTTAATCTGTTTACCCACTTTTTCTTAGATGACTTACTACTTGAAACTGGTGATGTTGAGCTGAAGAGAGACCAGCTTGTGACGTTATAAAACAAAAAGTTAAGCTCATAATGCGGAAATGAAAGTTTAAAATGGTGGCTTACCATTTGGACAATTTGTTTCAAATCCCACTAGGCCTACAAACGATGAAGTGTCCTGGAAAAGTTCAATAACTTTTGAAGTTGTCACTGATATTTCTTTTGGGGCAGGGCCTCCGCAAGTTTTCTTGCTTTCTTTACGGAATTTTGTGAATTCTCTTTTGGCAGCGGAATGAAGATTTTTCCATCTTTCGTCGACCTCTGATTCAGTGGGCTTGTCCACTCCAACAGCGTTTACCGCTGTGATAATTTCCGACCACACCTGTATTTCTTCAAGTCTGTAACACTATTAGTGAATTTACTCTGCAGAATGGCCAAGTTTTCCTCTACTTTCTCTGTCAAAATTGAAACCTGGGAGGCATGTTAGTGCTTTTCGCCGGTTGTAAACAACAAACTCAGAAGAAAATTCCTAGTGTATTGTGGAATGCTAACCTCGCGTTATCACCGTTAACCCAAGGTTAACTAACCTGTCGTTTAACCCAGCTTTGAACAATGCAATTTTAACCAGGAGCTAACAAACCTGTGGTATAGAAATTTAATCTCCCGTTAGGCCTAACCTGAGGTTAATTCAACTCGTCTTTCGAACAACCCGACCCTGTCCTGTAGAAAAAGTGTCTAGATGTTTAAGTAGATTCTCCCAACTCTGAGTATCATGAAATATGTGGACAGCAGTGAGAAGTGATATGTTAGCGTGGAGGGTTAACCTTGGTTTATTTTTGAACTTGTGCCCTTTGCAGGGGAATTCTTATTGATTTTTCATAGCAGTAACAGTCATATTAGTTGGGAACAAAAACCCAAAAAGGTAAAGAAAAGAGTGATAAGGCAATTCACCCATAAATCGGCATACTCCACGTCAGACTACCCCATTCCATACACTCTAGGCCACGTCAGAGAGGCTCTATGTAACCTGCAAAGGATACGCGAGGACAAAGTGGTCAGTTGTGTATGTACTCTTGTAGAGGAACAAAAGAAGAAAGTGAATAATTAAACGATATTGATGGTTTACATTTTTATTATTTTGTTACAAGGTAATTACATTTGCGAATCATTGTATCCCAAAATGAATTATGATGTAACAAAATTTTGGAGTGAAATGCCGAATTAATGCATAACAAAATTATCTTTACGCAGGGAATTAAAAATAGCCTTTCCGCACATTAAAGACCCTGATTAATATAACTGAAACTTTTATTAGTGATTTAAAGGAGATACGTCATGGTTTGTACATCTTGAAAAATTTATCCCAATTTTTTTCAAGTTCGTCATTTGCAATCCATGTTTATCTTCTCCATCCTTGACCATCGTGGTATCTTTCTGGCTTATTTTCTTCCTCTTTAGTGTTTGTCAGACTATCAAACTAGACTTTTACGGTTTCCTTAATTCTTTAAAAGGCAATTTTCTATGTAACAAAAACTACTCAAAATTTTGTGATGTAACTCCTATAACTAACAACACATCTCAGTATTTTCCATGAGTTTCAATGTGACAATTAAAAGATGTTTCCTAGTAACTGCAGAATTCCATTTCTATCATTTTTTTTTGCTTGGAAAAGGATCTTAATGTCGTTATTTCACATTCAAGGCCGTTACCACTTCATAACATTTTGAAGGAAGGTAATGGCCTCTACTAACACCAATTACACCAGTTTTTGATACAAGGAGTAGAACATTGAAGCTTACAAATGTCGGGGAGGACTTGTGCCGGAAAGCCAGAAATAATTTGACTTAATGTATCAAACATGCAGATAGAGAAATGTTTTCTGTATGTATGTATATATTCAAGGAAATAAGAAATTCTTAGTAATAATAGCTGGATTTGTGTTGTTATTAGTTCCAGAGTTCTGCATGGTGCAATGGCGACAGAGTCATCTTGATGAATGGCGTTGGTTTCTCTTCTGCACCTCAGGTTAAATGTCCAATCACTAAAAAGACAACCAAAATGGCCATTTTCTCAGAAACATCTCTAACTGTATATTTTAGCGTATCACTATGTTTGGTTGTAGAGAAACCAATATTGAAATGGTCTTTTTTGTGTGGCTGTTTACTTGTCAAAAATGGAAATTAAATTCTGTTTAACTTTCTCTAATTCTACTTTATGAAATGTTATGTCTGTCTATTGGCCACTGTTAATCTCATTCATTGATATGGTGATATTTTTTTGTAAAGGTCCATCTTTTCGTAAGCAGCAATACGATTCCAAACTTAGCTCGTAATTCTCTCTCAGCAAAATACCTAAATGGTGCTATTCCTTAATCGTTTAGCAGGCAGATTTAGTTCTTTTTCGGTAAGGGAGTAGTCCGTAAGGCTATCCAGTATATTTCCTGTATTAACTAGACGATACAGTCTTGGTTAGATGTACCCCTAAATGGAAAACTACCAAGTTATGATTAAAAACATTTTTAAAAAATCAAGCAATGTAAGACACAACGCAGGATTAGTGCTAAGCATTTTCACACTGAAGTAGTTTTGGCCTGCAGACAATCATGTTTTTTTTGTACTTACATGTCACCGTTCACTATTATGCACTGTTTATTTATTCAATTAGCTACTACACCTCTTCTTGTCCTTTTTTTGGGGTCAGATGATTTGTCCATGGTTTCTGCTTCTACAGGAATGAAATGATATAAAAAAAGAAGGAAGGAAGGGTAGATAAAAAGGAAGAAAGGATTAAAGAAATTTAAAGTAAAACACGGTGATTAAAATTTCGTGGAAACGAATAACATAAATGTCACCATATGTTAATAATTAAGTGATTTGGAACCTAAAAATCAAGCTTTTCGTAGTATTATGTAAATTAATAATGACATAACTCAATTCTCACCTTTTACTGCTCTGACTAACAAGATGTCATCAAGCTCTTAAAACAGACGGAAATTGACATGTTTTAGGTTTTTCCTAAGGTGGGAAAACTGAACCTGACAACACTTTTCTTTTAAGAAGAACAAACAAACAAAAAACATTTACCATTTCCTCACCTTCGTTATCCTGTACGACATTTGGATCAAAGGAACCTAAAAACATATCAACTGAACGTCGTTTTTGAACGATCATAACTAAAGCATTTCTAGGGGGACAACTAAATCTCAAGATTTATTCTTTCGTTTGCCTTTTAAAAGTATTATGTATACACTCATTACTGCTGTTAAACATAACTACTATGTAATTCAATATTAATTCTATGCCTGTTTCAATGTTGTCTTCTCGTTCTTGGCTGATAGTAGGGACCTTAAGCACCAGGACGGGAGAGGAGGACGACGCCTTACCGGAAGTGAAAAGTCGCATTTCAATAGCAGTGCGCATGCGAATAGGTTGCATCATCCCGTCCTGCCCTCGTCTTCGACGTGAAGTGAGGAGTTTTGACGTCGTGCACAGAACGTAAGTAAATTTTGGCTTTTTTTGTCCTGAAATGTAACTGTTGGATCCAAGTACTTAAGGTAATGTTAAAAGTTGGTATCGATGGTTGTCAGAATCAAGTTAACGGTAACTGGGATAAAAATAAATCAATTTTTTTACTTTCTTTTGTCAGTACATCCCGCTCACAATCTCAAGATGTCGACAAACCTTCCCGCGAAAAAGCAAGAAGGCGATAAACCGGCGTAAGTACAAACTTAAAATTCGTACTGAATGAAGTTAGCTGATATTCTGTGGAAATATGTTTGCCCTGAGCTGCCCTGATTAAACTATAGCTAGGTAAAACCCCAATAATCTGCTCATGTGTTAATAAATCAATTCGATGCTTGGTGTTAGCTTAAATTTGTTAAATAAATAAGCTTATGTACAAACTTGCGACTTTTAGCGTGTAGGTCTTGCAGAATGTTCGTATTTCATATTTTTCTCCATTTTGAAAATTTTAATTTCCTTTGATAGCAGCGATTTCCCTCAGCGATGAAAGCTTTGTGTGTGTATGCTTTTAAGCAACACTTTCTTGCAACTTCGTATAAGCTTATGTTTAAAATTAGACTAGCCGACAAATAGCAAGAAGGTAATCCTGGCAAACCAGTATGTACATAAATAAATTTGTTATAGAAATACACACACAGACTTGTATATATTATATAAATGCTTACACATATATACGTAATATATAGATTTAGCCAGGGCTAAAAGCGAAGCTCCCATTAATAAATTTATATTTTAAATCAAACAATACACTTGTAATCCACAAATCAGTTAACTTAAGGGCACATTCATGTGACTTTTGAGGGAAAGGATAAGTTACTTTGAGTGAAACATCTTACATCGAGTTGATAGCCTAAATATACATGTATGTACACGCAAAAAATAGCAAACATCTTCTATCACATTCAAGAGCCATAATGGCTCTTGATCACAGTAGATTAGGCCTCGAAAACAAATTCTTGGAAAACAAATCAGGCCGCATTTTTTTGCCTTCGACAGGTTTACTTTACAAATTCTTGCCAACAAATCTTAGGGTGTGTAAACCAACCTTTTATACTTTTTATACATCAAATCTGAGGTGAAACAGCACTTTTTATCATACAGACCTCGGACAGAATACGGCATTTCACAATTTTTCAATGTTCAGGACGATCAATCGTAGGCTTTTATTGAAACCGTTCAAAAAATTTCCAAAATCACCCATACGGCCAGCCGGTTCTCATTTTTAGTGTGAGCTGTCAGTGTGGTCGAGTGTTTGAATGAACTTTAATGGAGACACGCTTCAACATAATAACGAATTTATTGTCATTATCTTTTGTTATTTAATGGTTCCAGTTATAACGGTGTGTAATCTTTAAAGCGTTTGATAGGCGTGACATTTCTAAGTACTCCTGCAAGCGATATTCATGAACGATGAAATCAAACACCACGGACAAGCGATTAAAATTGCAAGAGAGACTACTAACAATCAATAAAAGAAATACAATTCGGTAAAACACTTACAGAGACAACAATTTTCAGTCACGAAGACAAGTATGAAACTGTCTCTAAAAATCCTGAGCCGTTTAAGCTTAAAGCTTAAGTTTATTTTGTTTTACTTTCAGCCGGCCTCTCGGTGTTTGTTTTTTTTTTCAAAGATGAACTCCTCGAAGCAAGAAAATCACTCACAAAGTTTTCTTTCTACAGCCAAATTTATAACTAAATATTCTTCGGAACGTTTTTTTTCTATTTGCCGTGAGAAAATATATCTGAAGGCCTTTTAAAGTTCTGTAAGCTTATATCAAACCTGATACTAGATCAGATCATTGACTTAAATCTTAAACAAACGTGCAAAAACTTGCCGCATAAACTGTGCTCGATTTCATGAAATTAGATATAACAAAAACAAACATCAAATACAATAATTACTCAGGCTTACCATTCGAGATTCAGTTCCTGAAAGATATCAAGGAAGGCCATAGTTGCTTGAGACTTTTAAACCCTCTTACGCTTTGAGCAAGGTGAAAGACGAAAACGATGCCATCCGAAATCGGATTACCCAATTTTGACGAGCGACGCATTTCTCAACCAAAAACCCAATAAACAAACCAGCCAGGCATAACAGAAGACTCTTGATAGCAGCTGTATTTCATTTTGTACATCCAGAGGAAAAAGACAGTTAAAAACATCACAAGTTGACACAAAACTCTGTCAGCTTTAGCTGTCAAAGTAAACAACTTTCAAGATGCTGCATAAATTTTCCGCATGAACTCACCTGTCAAATTTTGACCAATCAGAGTACAAAAATTGGACGTAGAGCGTGACCAACGCGTGACCATGGTAAGAAAAGGTCTTCCCCGCCTTTATTTTTAAAAAAGTGGCTGAATTTTCGCGTCCGAGGTCAGTTTGAAATCAAAATCTTGACAGTGCGGGGCCATAGTGACATAAACACAACATATTTCATATGAGTCATTGGAAAAAATAGACTTGAGCCTGCGATAATTTGAAACTGGTAATTTGTCAGCGGATAACTTCAAAAAAGTACTTGACCTAGATGGGTCGACACTTGAGCCCGCGCTACGGTCAGGTTATACTGGTCAGCGGATATCCTGTTTTGACGGCTGTCAATTGATCACAACAGTGATGTGCAATTAGTTTTCTATTGGGCTCCCAAACTAGCAAGAAAGTGTGAGTTAACATTGGTTTCCCTGTGGTGCGGACGGACGGTCGTACGGTCACGTGATTACCAAATTTTCTCGGATGGGTAGATTACCACATTTCCTTAGCTATGGGGCTCCGTCCACGCGCGCGCTTCGCGCGCGGGTGGAGCTCCGCTATTATAGTAGTTATTTCCTAAATATTTATAAAAGAAAAAGAAGAAGTGATGAAGCAACTGAAACAAAAGAACAGTTATGTCAATAGAGAAGCTACAGAAAAACAAACTTAGCTTATCTTAATTCTTCATTTCATTAATTAGTGTATCTACCTCTAGACAGCTAGGAGTCTTCAGGTTCTAAAATATTTTTTTCCATGATTGTGGTAATACAACCCTTTTTAATAATTTTTTGTTGTATTGCTTGTTTCAATATTTATCTGCAGTGAAAAGATGATGTTTTGGACTGACAGACACGATGTAATTCTCTGTCGAGAAATTTTGATACACAATCCCTTTCATTACAAGAAGAGCTCAATTCAAAGAGGACAGGTTTGGAATGACATCGCTGAACGACTTGTTGCAGTTGATGAAGAAAGATTCAAGTCAGATTTAGACAGAAGGGGTGTTCGTGATCGATACAACCTGTTAGCAAATAAGCTGAGAAGAAAGCTAAAAGATGAAAGGAAAGCTTCCGGAATTGAAACTGATATGTCAGAGGTGGAAGTTGCTCTGGAAGATTTGATCGAGAGGGAAGATGAATCGAATAAACAGCACAAGGAGAATCAAGATCAAAACCTAAAGAGGAAAGAAGATCGACAACAGGCTGAAGATATTCGCACAAAGTCATTGGAGAGACTGGGGGAAACTCAGAAACGAAAAGGGCAAGACAGCAACCTTCAGACCAAAGCTAAGAAGAAGAGGGCAACTGGAGGAGATGCAGTAGTGTTCTTAAGAGAAAGAACTGAGGCAATGGTTGCTGCTCGTAAGGAGGAGGTCAATATGAAAGTAAAACAACAAGAGGCTGAGAGCAAACGACACCAGGATTTTCTCGAATTGATGAGGCAACAACAACAGCAACAGCAGCAGCAAATGCATAACATGCAAGCTATGCTTCTCCAACAACAGCAGCAGCAAACTCAGTTGATTATGGCACTCGTGTCTAAGTTAGACCATAAATAAGCCTTCACACAATGTATTGTGTGGATTTGTTGTTAGTGTTGTTTATCTGTCATTTCTGAGATGATTGTTTAATGTCACGTGTGTCACACTGGCAGATGTAGACCTTGAGATGGGGGGAGGGGGTTCAAGAAAAGTTTTTTTTGCCCCTTTGGGCCTCACTTTGGTCTAAAAATAAGGGGGGAGGCTGGTTCCCCCCAGGGCCCCTCCCCTGGCTCCACCACTGTGTCAGAATAATTCACCTGAAATTGTGAAAATTATTCACCTGAAATTGTGTTTAATGTATTTGAGGCTTAGTGTCTCTTGTTCAAGTTATGTTGATTTCTCTTCTTGCATTGATCTTGAAAACTTCACAATGTTGACTGTACAGATCATATACGTCGTGATATGCTAGACAACAAGTCTTTGTAAAATGTCCCTGCAATCAACCACTCTGTGATACGATAGGGGGAAAGGACACAGCAACATTTTGCTTCATATGATTTGTTGCCTAGTGTGTCCTGACCTTATAGTTAGGCACTGGGTGCAATTTGGAGCTTTGAACTAATTTAACATTAAATATGTACATGCCGGACCATTTGGTAGGGTAATTTTACAGTTGACAATATTAGTTTGTTGTATTGATGAAAAATAAAAGCCAACTTTATAATCCATTTTTGATTGCATATGCCCTAATACGAGCAGAAACCCTTGGGACCTGTAGAAAGGGTCCACTTAATAGAGGTGTCCATGTAAGGGAGGTTAAAAATGCACCCCTTTCATTGCTTGCACAAAGGGTAAGTGTCCCCTTAAGGGAGGTGTAAATTGACAGATGTTTGACTTTTTGTTATGGTACTAATGATGAGAATTTGATTGACTATTTGATATCTTTCTTGATTGGCTCTATTATTCTCATGGCCTATTTTTTATTAAACAGTGATGTTACGAGAATCTCATAACATCACTGTTTAATAAAAGTATACGCCATGGGAATAATAGAGCCAATCAAGAAAGATATCAAAAAGTCAATCAAATTCTCATCATTAGTACCATAACAAAACAGGGATGAAACCATGTCACTAGGCTTAAAGCTTTGAGGGGAGGGGGGAGGGGTGTGGCAACTGTGAAAGCTACATATAAGGCAACGATGTTAGCAGTGGTTTTCAGAGGCTTTTTTCCCAATGGCCAAGGCAATACCCAAGCAAACATAGTAAACACTTGAATATGGTCAAGGTTTATTTTAGATAGAAATGTAATACAAACAATGCATGTTACATGATAATTATCAGACGTTTCAAAGGTCTTCTTCATATTTATTTTCTACACAATCCAGTCACTGAAAATTTCTTGGACATATTAGCACTTGTGCATTACTGATGTTAATATAATGCAAGCTGCACAAAATAGTCCTGAAGTGTTGGTGGATCCACAGAAAAGAAATCAGAAGTCTGATTGTGATAAAGGCAGGTGTGAGCATTTCTTATGATAGCAACAACAAGGTACATTTTTCCTACTGAGGATAGGCCAACTTTTAAATTATTTTTGAAATCAAGAAACTTAAAATAATTAATAATATCTCCGAAGAGCCATTCAACAGATATACGTAGAGCGCTCATGGCAGCATTAAACTCCTGCAGTTGAGGTGTTAGTACTGCATTTCTAAAAGGGCACTGCAGATGTATCCTTAATGGGTAAGCCGGGTCACCATACAGACAAAGAGGCTGACCAGTTAAGGAGAGTGCATTCCTTTGTAGGTCTGCAAGTAGACCAGAGTCTGCTAACATCCCCGCGTCATGCTTTCTGCCTTCTGCAGTAGAAACAACAGAAAGGAGCAAAATAAAGAGACGGGTGCTTTTTTTTCAAATTAGTCAATCATATTGCAGTGCAAGCACTGAATCAATTTCAAACTTGACTTTCTCTGATCTCCAGCCTTAAGAATTGCTCTCCTCGTAGCACCGTACATCTGAACCTATGCACTATTTTGTTGTTTATTAACTGTTTGTAATGTATCATTTAACTTACCCACTGGGCCATACATATGGGCTATCATTCCCGATGGTAAGACAACCGATTGAAATTTTAGGGCGTGCACCCTCTTGTGGCCATTGTAGAGCACTCTCTGCTGCTCACCAGGGCGGCATACTGGTCTGACCGTGCCATCTATGAACCCGAAGCAGTTGTCGAGAGGAGAACCATTCCTAGAAATTACATCACAATACATCTGAAGAGAGGCAGGGTCCAACAGCTGGGGAGTCCATGAAGTGAGGCGATGTACGTGCGAATCGTGAATATAATCAATTACGCGGTTACAGATCATGCTTAAGACGGGAACTGGCCTACCAAACCGGGGAATAAGGTCGCTGTAGCGGCAAGGGTACGCCATTCTTCGCAACACCATGCACAATCCTTCCATCCCATCACTAACAGTACGCTGCGAACAAGTAAACTGGTTGGGGATACCCAAAACGTTGACAAGGACTAGTAGGTCTCTCTTCTCGAATCGAAATTCGGCTTTGCATTCTGCTTCGTCAAGTTCGTCGAAGGAAAATCGGCCATGTTCTTCATAAGGGAACTCGGGGTTCTTTGACTTGTGTGCTTGCCAAAGTACTAGAAATTCGTCGTCATCTAATAGACCGTCCATGTAGGCGTCCAAAAGGGCAATTCGTGCTTAGCGAAAAGAAGCCATGTTTATTTGAGCTTCCCGCGCGTTTCCCGTCCTAGGGTCCAGTTGCTTAACAACAAACAACTCATGCTGATGACGGGGACGTAGACCCAGTCTTCCCCATCCGCCAGACGTCGCCGTCCTCCTCTCCCGTCCTGGTGCTTAAGGTCCCTAGTAACAGTGGTTGTACCATCTGAAGTAGAACAAGACAACAATTGAAAGTGCGAAATGGCTCATCCCCAATCACTGACATTCCATTAACTTACAAACGCAGAGGTGAGTAATATTATGCTACAAACCTTCCCAAAATCAGTTTCACATATACGGAACTGCATTTGACAATACTTTATTAACTGAAAATTGACATGTAAAAACATCTTTGAATGATGGGTAAACCCAGCTCGCCGGTCGTGCTGAGACGAGATGAATGCGAGGAAACTACCTGTTTCAATGTTGCCTTCGGATTCCTGGCTGATAGTAACAGTGGTTGCACCCTCTGAAGTGGGAACAAAAGATTATAGTTGAGACAGGAGGGAGTCAGTCAAAATTGTATTTAATGCATGGCAAGGTGGTAAATTTAACTTATATGTTCAAATAAATGAGCATTTGTATTAAAGGATTCCCATAACTTACTTTCTACGTTTGGAATGAATGCACCTGAACTTTGAAAAAAAAGTTTTGACTGGTTTTAAGTCTAAATTATGAGACGTTTTAGCTAATAATTTGTTTCTAAAGTTTAATGTACGGTCATTCCAAACGTGGACCGTTAGAAATACTAATTTTTAATATGAGTCAGAAAAATGCTATTATTTGATTTTTCTTCTAACACTCGTCACCAAATTGTCGAAAGTTAAGAATTTTAAAAACGTGTCTGCGTAAAAACCGACCAGTGATTTTGGATCAAAGAATTAATTTCCCTTATTTTATGGGATATTAAACCCTTCACCTTAGTAGTTACAAAAATACATTTCGTTTGACGGAAAGTGATAAATATATATAGCCTTTCAAACTGCAAAAATCGCTAATATTGACTGCACTCTAGAAAACAAACACCTCGCTCAATAAGCCTGATTTTCTTTTCCGTATACAGATACGCCACTGTAGATTTCCTAGCCATATCACAGTTCAAAATTATTTGTTTATTTCAACGGCAATGATGTTTCCCCCAGCACAAGTTTTCAGCTTTCTGACCTTCGCTATCTGTATGATTACAATCTAGAAAATGATAGCAAAACACAAAAAGGAAAACCATTTTTGTGTTCTCCATGTTTTCAGAATAGACAGCCACTTGAATTTCCAGAAATTTCGTAAACCTGATAATTAACGAACACTCGCCTTGTCGATCTGCTTGTCAAAGTCCAACTTCATTTGATAGCGTGACAGGTCTTATCCAAGTTCTTTCACATTTTAAGATTATTTCTCAATCATCTGAAACTATATTGGCTGTTGATTCCATGTCCTTGGTCCGTTTGAAGAAGTTATCTGGTTTATTAAATGGCAGTATCCGGGTGCGTGACTTGTTCATGACACTGTCCTGAAAGGTCTTTTGCTAAAATTAGTTGGATGGAATCTTGTTCATTGAGATTACTCAAGACATCGCAGTGAAATTTCTAGGGCAAATAAAACACGTTCCTTTGCAAATACAACATGATTAGTCGCTGACAAAGCGTTTTAACCCAGTTGCCTGACAAAGTTGAAACATGCATGACTTTGTATTTCATCCCCAGTCCTCCTGCACTGGTTGATGACCTGATATGGTAATTATAATTAACAAATACTAGCTCGTTCACTTGCTTTAATAACTTCTTAGGTTGTAATGTCCTTCTTGGTGTTTGTAGAGGATATTTTTGCTCCTGAAGTAACTGCTGTAACTCAAAAAAACATGGAATTTTTTTCACACCTGTCCTTCAACGACATCTTTTTTCCAGTTTGAAGAAAAGTAATAGAGTGTCATCAGTTGCGAGCATGACATGGTTGTTTCGTAACATTTTCTGTAAAGTGCGATGCAATAAACATTGAATCGCCATACTTTGATAAATGTTCCTCTTCAGCTTAACATAGATGCAGCGACAAAAATGGTTCAACACATTTCAGCTAAGAGAATTGAGAATCTACGTTACTACAGTTTCCACGTCCTTCCCATGACCCCACGCTGCACGGAAATTCATTGAACTGGACCCTGGCATTCACATTCTGTGACAACTTTTCTGAACTGGTCCAACAGATCAGCTTTCCTTTCTTTAGATCTGAAGGGGACCTCAAGAGAGGAAAGTACCTTCTTAAACATTTCGACATTAAAAGCAGGAAGTCTGTTTTGTCGATGTATGTCACAGAGATCATATGTGTTGTATGTAATGGGGTGCTTCAATCCAATTGCTTCAACAATATTTGCCATTAAATTTTGATGCTCTGCACTCTCCACAAGACATTCGATATCTTCTTGTTCCATAGAAAATCCCACAGTTCCTCGTTCTTTACGTTTGGAAGCTGCAAGGTGAGAGAAGAAACCCTGTATCTGTGTTTTAGTTAGCCACTCCGTGCGACTGAACCATCTTTCATTAGAACGGGTTGTTGCTGTTCTCATATCCTTTTCAGCCTTAACAGGGTCCGCCTTTTGGCCAGTTTGCTCACCAATTTCAATAAGCTAGGTTGTGAGACATTCTTTAACCTCACGAGAAAACCGGATAGAGCCTGCATGGGCCTTGCTTAGTGCCCATCCCATCTGCAGAGTTTCTACGTCAGTTGATGATTCGGACGACAACATAAATGGTGTAGATTTTTTGACAGCCACGTCCACTGATGTAAATTTTGTTGCCCAGTCCTCTCTGATCTAGTCATGCAAGCTATCACTCTTCTTCATGGTTTCTTGATTGCTGGTGTGCTTCCCTTCGTCACGTTGCTGTTCTAGATCTGAAAAGAACTCAAACGCCTGCGTGCAACCTGGAAATACACATTCAAAGAGAGCGGTATCTTTTTGCGCATTCGTACCAGTGGGAGATTGTACATCCTTAGGTGTCTTAGTCTTGAAACGTCTTTCTTTAAATGGCTCAAAAAATGTTTTATCAGTGTCTTGTCATGAGGCCAGTCGCCTCTTGGTGCTTTAAATACAGTGTCATAAGGAAAAAGCTTTCCTCGTCCAATTTTATAGGCTCGTCTTGCTCTTATTCTTGAGCTTTCAAATGTGAAATTGTGGAAACCGCTAAAATGACCAATCTTCTGCACTTGAAGGCTCTTCTTTGATTCGTCTACCATATTTACTGAAGCAGAAGTTCCTCTGACAGGATGTTTCTAAAGAGCATCTCTCATGTTGGGCACAGACAGAATATCATTACCCTCGGAACAATATGTTCGGACAGACGATTTTAGAGTACAGAGAATCCAGTCATGTACATCCTTCTGCTTTGCGGTTCAGAAAAGTCATAGGCTTCCACTGCAACGCCAACCCTTTGTCCAATGTCAGGAATTGCCGCGATCAAGAAGTTGTTGTGATAGCAGCCCTCCTCATCAGATCTCAAAAAAACACTTTTTAGCCCGGGTTGCTTCATTTTTGTGTTAGAAGATCTTCAATTATTGATGCAACTGCAAACCAATCTTGGGTGCATTGATCAAATAAATGAGTGTAAGAAGTAACTTGGAGTTCTCCCGTCGAACGGTCATGCGTGTTATAATTGTTGGCTGCAATGGTAACTCTACCAACTGGCGTTGCCAAGAGTAGCATGCATTGGTGCCTGAAGCGGGAGAGTTTCTTGAACGATAGCAGCTCCTCCAGAAGTGCCCTGGCTTACCGCAGAGGTAACAGCCGCTCATGGAAGTGTGACTCTTGCTGGGTGCCTAATGGACACAATACAAAGTACAAAAGTAGGGAGAGTCAGCCAGGCCTTTCAACTTGTTAGACATAGGCTGAAACCTCTGAGACCACAATCCAGCTTGAAAAACGTCTATATGAAGAAACAAATAAAAGAGAACACACGTGTGATCGAGAAATCAAACTAACGCGCTTAGCAGGAGAAATCCAGACAAAAAGAGAGAACATTAAACCTGAGCTTGCACGAAAAAACGGACCTTTCTTAGAATAAACAAAAGATGAACCCCTACCGGGAAGAAACATATCACCTGATTTAGGTAAACAACAAAAATCCTTAACAAAGTCTGGAAATAAAAGTGGACTATCATAAGAACATAGCAATGGCCAAAAAGGCGCAGATTTCCACTCTGGCACAGCACAAGTTCCTTTAGCCTTACAAGATTCCATGTGATATAATACTGTGGTAATTAGGTGAGGAGGCGGACAAACAAAATTGTTACATTCTTTCCCTAATCCTGCGTGAAGCAATCTACCGCTTCAGTACCAGGACACCAAAACTTAGTATTAAAACGAGGCGAATGAGTATTGTAACTACAGTCATCCAGTCATCAGGATCGACGATGCGACTCAAATAATCAGCCAGCTCATTGGCACCCCTGGGAATCCAGTGGGCCGGAAAAGACACGCTGTTAATCATACAAAAACTAAACATATCGACAGCAATCTGCTGCAAGTGTATGATACTGCTCCCAGCATGTACAATTTGAACAACATTCTGATTATCTGAAGAGATCTTGACCTTCTTACCACTAATAAAGTTCTGAAAGCTTTTCAAGGCTAAGTAAGCAGCCATTAACTCACGGAAAGAAGACCTCTTAGCACGCTCAACAGAACTCCACATTGCAGAACAAAACCTCTGTTCACCACCAAAAGAGATGTGAGCACCATCAGACTCACTGGCATCGCAGGTTAAAACCACGTTAAACGACAAACGTCTATTTATTGGATAACCATTAAATGCTTCTACGTGCATTAGCCAAAATTTTAATTCATGTAAAAGTCCTTCAGCTGCGACAAGTACATAATCTCATGAATGTCGCAATTGAATGAAAAAATACATTGGTTTAGTAAATAATCTGGCAATAGGCCGCAACGCAACAGTAAGGGAAATCACAAATCCAGAAACACTAGCTATGTACCTTACACAAAAGTTAGGAAATTGGTCAATGAGACCAGTCAAAACTGACTTGAACCTCACACTCTTTTTCTACGGGATGATAAAAAGCATTCGAATTGTGTCAACGATTATCCCTAACCACTCCCCCAGGGCTCCCAATTGGGATTCTCCTTGTTAGTCTTCCAGCCAGAAAGCTGCAGATCAGACCTGACTAATTTACTCGCAGACTGAACATCTAATAACGATCTGCAAGCAAAGATTCCATCATCACTTTACACAATGGCAAAAATACCAAAGGATCGCCAACGAACAACAAAGGTTTTAAACATCTTCGTAAATAAATAACAAGCTGAAGACAGACCGAAGGGCAAAACTCTGAAAACAAAATACCTAACAACGCCATCGAAAGACCATGAAAACCCTAGAAATTTCCAAAAATTAGAGTTATTATCCGGATGATGATAACCCGACTCAATGTCAAAGGTGACAAACCAAAAATTCTCACGAAACATCACCGCCAAAGTAGGAAGACCTTCATATTTAAACTTAAAGTTCTTAATGAAAGGATTAACGGATCTATTAAGATGTAAAACGAAACGCAAC